ACACACACACACACACACACACACACACACACACACAATTGTCCGCCTTGACCCTTGGCTCATTTTGTCATTCCAACAGAGGCAAGAAGTAGGAGGCATTACAAAACCCAATAGATGAGTGAAAATAAGCTTCAAGAAACAATGCAAACATTGTAGTTTTACAGAATAACCTGTCCGACAGTGTAACAGCTGCTGTAACAAACGACAGAGGAGCACTTCACACACTTTGTCTAGGTGTGTTTAAAGTGTGAACAAGAGAACACGCATACAGATGACTTTCTGTTAGTTCGGAGAAGAATCTAGAGGAATTTAAGGAGAGAAGAACAGGGGGAAGCAGGACAAATACTGGAATGGGAGAAGTGAGGAGACATCCTCAGATCAATTTGAGGGTTTTACAATGTCAGAGCAGTTCAGGGGGGGAGGTATTCCCATCTTTCTGAGTGGCTAAGCAGCCACACTATTACAATAACACAAAAGACCTGCAAACATATATGCACTCTTTTAGAGGGGCACCTGCGGCAAATATATTTTCAAATCTCTCTGTTAAATCTATCTTAAACCTGCGTTATCACTCACATTATACATAGAAAGTTTTTTAACATCAGTCATGATTTGTTGCTATAAACTGCCCAAGTCAGAGAGAAGTAACAATGCAAAAGAGCTCAGTGTGGAGCAGCTCAGCGCTGCTGAGAGGAAGACAGAGAGGGAAAGAAATAAAACAGAGAGCGAGAGAGAGAGAGAGAGAGAGAGCACACCCATCCTGAAGTGAGCAAAGCAAACTTTCAAGAAGAAAGTCGCCCAGATGCCACGCGTGGGAGGCAGCTCTTATTTATTTATTTCTGTTTATCTGGCTGTCAGTAATTTATTCTGAATGCGCTGTTTAAAATACTCCTTCTCCCTCTGTCTCACCATCTCTTCCCCATAGATTAGAGGGGGGCTGCGACAGGGCTGCGCATTCTCTTCACCTATATTGTCTAACAAATATCTAAAAGGGGAGGCAGAGAGCACGGCGGCGCTGAGCTGAGACAAAGAGGTGTGGTAGGATTTGTTGCTGTATGCTCGCAGCTGCTTAACAGTCGGAGATTGGTTCCTTGCGCAGTGGGTCGCAACGCAAGCGAAAGCAAACAGGGGCACGCACACAAACAGAATGAGCGCACGCGTGCAAACAGCACTCTCACCACAGGTTTAATTTGCAAAGATTAAAGTCTGCAGTTTGTTCAGTGTCACACCAACACACAGGTGCATGCACACACACACACACACACACACACACACCTGGGAGTTTGAGTGCTTAGCTAAGTGTTGTTGTGGCCTGGAGCATACTGCCTGCTGTTTCTGCATCTCTCTCACTCTTTTTCTCTCTCTCTCTCTCTCTCTCTCACACACGCACATCGACACACACACACACACACACACACACACACACACACACACACACACACAAGATGAATGATGACATGACACAAAGCCTGATGAAATGATATGTAGGAGCCCCTTCAGAGCACAGGGCTCACCTAACACACACACACTCACTCAAACAAATGAAATCTCATCATATTCAGATAGAGAAGAAAGGATTACCCGCGGCTGATTGCTGGATGAGAACATGTAGGAAGGGAATTGAATCCTCATTCAGTTGCTGTGTGTGTGTGTGTGTGTGTGTGTGTGTGTGTTACCCTCTTTCTTTGACCTCACTGTGGCTTACCTCCCATTCAAATCAAATGGAACAGTTTTCTCATTTAATGGTTTTATTTTTTTTAAAGCGAGAGAACAAATGTCCTTTTTTTGGGGCATTTCTGATGATGGGTGTACGTGAAGATGCATTTATGCGTTTGTGTGACAGCATGCTGTATGCGTGGTGTGCAGAGGTGGAAAAAGCATTCAGATCTTTTACTTAACACACTGACAACACTGCAGCACAAGTAAAAGTCTTGCATTCAAAACCTTATGTAAAGTATTATCAGCAAAATGTACTTAAAAATAAAAGACCTCTGCAGAAAAATGGTCCCTGTCAGTGTTACTATATCATGATGTTTTTGGATTCATATAAGTGCTGCATTAATGTGTGTCTTGCATTAGATGTTTATGGTTGTGCAACTTATAAACTTCTGCTGGGTAGTTACATCTACAGCAATGCATCATATTCGAGAAGATCCTGATATGTTTGTAGCCTCGCTGTCCTGTGAGAATTACGTATCTCACAGTCAACTCCTCATTAGCTCAGGAAAACTGTGTTCAGTTTTGTGTCAATGCATTTTCCAGCTGATACCAAAGGGTTTATTTAGCTTAAAAACTATTAGAAGAATTTTCTAAACCAATAGAAGAAGACTTTATCCTTCAGTTTATCAGAAACACTTCTTCACATTCACATTCTTGCTTTCACTGGACAGGAAAGGTATAAGACATTGTAATAACTTTAGTAATTAATGCTGTCAGATAATTGTAGTGGATTAAAAAGTGCAATATTTGCTTTTAAGATATAGTGGAGTAGAAAAAAGGTAGCAAAAGAGGGAAATCTTTTGCTACTCCATACTTAGTTACATTCCACCACTGGTAATGCTACATGAGATCTCAGGCTCTAAGATAACCATTAATGTCAGCAATTTACATAGCAGGTGACTAATTATTTTAATAGACATTTATTCATATCTGCATCTGTGTGTTTGTATGTGTATCTTAATGTGTGTGCCACCAACACTTACAATGTTCATGAGTGTGAGCAGGTACTTTTGGACGTGCTCCTTCCCGTGAAACTGGACCACCGAGTCGTCGACGCCCAGCAGCACCTCGATGTTGTAGGCCCTGTCCAGGCTCTGTCTGCGCATTCGCCCCGCTCGCGTGTGGTTGATACTCTGCTCCACGCCGCGGTACAGAGACTCCAGGTCCATCAGACCGCCGAGGTCAGCGCCTGGACATAGACAAATTACAGGGTTATTTAAGTGAAACCCGATTGGCACATAAACTCACAGGACAGATTGAAATGTTGATGTGCAAACCTCAAACAAATCTCCAGACAACATCCAACTAATTCTAGGAAGTTATCGATTCAGTTATCTATTAAAAAATAAAATAATAAACGGGTTTACTCTTCTCTGACCCCTGACCAGACCGGCAAAACCGGAAATCAGCCCAACTCTAAGTGGAAGGACAACGATCGCTATAACTTTGCTGGTTTCCACTGCAAATCAACTTATAAATGAGGCCGTAAACGCCGACTTCAGTGTCCTCCAAGTGTACTTCTGTCAACAGCATGCTGCATATGACGTCTTTGTTATTGTTCTTTGGCGCATGTGGGTGCAACTCACGATTGTGAACAGTGCACACTGAAATCACACAAAAAGGCGTGCAGTGTGAACGAAGCCTCACAATCTCTGTAGATCTGAACAATGGCGGCACATCGAGCATCAACCTTTTTTTATTGGAAAGAAACGAATCACAAATAAACTTCTACATTTACCCAACCTATTGTTGTGTTGTTTTCACAAACCAGAAATGTCTGCCTTCAGTGTGTGTCTCCCTGTCTTCCTCTCACTACAGCTTTTGTTGTGTGTTTAGCGCATGTGTGTGCTACACATTGACATCCATTTTATGCACATGTACTTATTTGAGCACTTGCATGTTGATGTCTGTCTTCTGTTTACCTTCCAAGACACCAGTTGACAGAACGGAGCATGTGTGTGTCACTCGTAACCGCTGGTAGCGATGAGACTATCCTACACAGATCTTCTCCTAATCAACCAAATATTTCTGCTCCCATCTGAATAAAAGCAGCAGATGGTGCCGGCTAAACACATGGATTAAGACAGCTCCCTCACACAGGGGCTGCTCACCCTGCTCTTTTCTTGCTAAAAAAATGCAAAACTGAAGAAACTCAATTTTAGGTTATTCTATCGGAAAGTGTGCAACCAACAGGAGCCCTGATTTGTTCAGATCACTAATCACTTTTGCCTCCACAGGTATGGCATACAATGCGTTGTTATGTTGTTTGGGCATTATTGGATAAACTGAAGTCCTGACTCTGCATCAAGTTTAAATGCCGAGTCCACCCCCCCGCCCCCCCCCCCCTCTTTTTATAGCAGGCAAAGCATCAGAGTCATAGAAGATACAGAAGATAAATTGTCCTGTCTCCAGAGCCAAGGCCATCCTTTCCTCAATTGCCATCCTCCCTCTCCCTCATCCTCCTGGTACGTAGACACAACATGGCCTTGCTTGCATGGAAGCCATGGAAGACCTAGTCATGCAGTCTTGAACATGTATTCTCAGTGGATTCCATCCTCCCCGACTCCGGCCAAGGCCTCCCACGGCCAAGGATGACATGTTCAAGTGTGTACGCGGGTGCTTGTGTGCGAGCACTGTGTGGACTAACATGTCTAACTGGGCCATAAATCATCCATCAGGTAACTTCAACTAACGTGAAGGCGAGCTGTAATAGATATGCCGTTTTTGACCGTGGAGCTTTATTTGGAGGTGCGGGTTGATTCAACACGTGGCATGAGGGGACAGCTGGAGCTCCGGTGTTTTGACGAAATGCGGTTAGAACAAGAGTTTAGTGTCGGGAATAGAACGAGATGCAAGGGGAAGATACAGGGAAGACTAGGGGAGAGGAAGAGAGATCTGCCACTTTGCCTCCCAATCAGGAGGGGGCATCCCGCTTTCCCCCCTCCCTCTTATGCAACGTTGCCAAGGCAACAGGCTCATGGGTAAAACAACGGCCGCGTGGATAATATTGGCTCCTGAGTCGCTATCAGAATGAATCTGGAAGTCTGAATATGATCCCATATCTGCCCACATT